TCGCGGAGGGTCTGAGGGTCCGGACCGCCCGGACCGAGGTCAAGGCGCGCCACGCAGGGGTTCCCTGCGTCGGTCGTCCGTCAAAAGAAAAAAAAACGGGGGCGGTTTTGAACTTGGGACTTTGCCCGCAGGGATCGGTCGCTGAGCCCGCTCGGCCACCGCGACCTCCGCGCCACTTTGTGCCCCGCCATCTGCCTCCACCTGAATAACAACGTTGCCGCCAATAAATGGTTTCGAACTGGCCGAGCGCCGCAGTGGAAATCGAAAGCCGATCGGCCGGCCGAAGAAAGCGATCCGATGGAGAGATGATGTCTTCATCGCTAAACCTTTAAAAGCACTTCACCTTTTCTCAGTATTTTTTTTCTCTCCCTCACGGGCCTCTCTGGCCGCTGCGATCTGCCGATCCACCGCGCTTCTTTGCCTCCAAGTTGTAATTCAAGTCGAGGGCGTCCTTTCACACGCCGGGTAATCCGGGTGGCAGGGAGGAGCAGCGCTGCGCCCCGAGATAGTCCACACCGTCAGCGTCCTGGTGGGCCACCGAGGCGGCTGGCTAGACAGCCCACCCGTCTTTCTGAACCGGTCCTGCCGTCGCCCGTCGAGGAGAAGAGGCTGCTCCGTGGTGGGGCTTCGGTGGGCGTCTTTTCCTCGTGTGTGATGCAACCACGGTGTGACGTAAACCCAGGTTTGCCGCCCAGCTGGCCTTGCCCCCTCCCCCTGATTCGCCCCCTGTTGTCCAAACCCGATTTCCGCCTTCGCTTCCCGTTATTTAGGGCGTCCCCTCCCAGCCACGCGCTCACCTTTCCCAGTAGACCACCCGCACGTCCCCGTCCACAACAAAAACAACAGCTAGAATATTTGCGGTGGGGTGGCGCCGCGGCCTGCAGCGCGAAGTGCCATGAGCGCGAAGCGCGCGTTAGCTTGAAAAAAAAACTAACCTCGTGAGAGCCAGCAATTTGCTTTGCCGAGTTCCTGTGGGAGTTCCTGTGGGAGTGCGACGCTCCAACGGTTGGAAAAGGGGCGCAAAGCAGGCACACTTGCCGCGTTTTGCTCAGGGTTTTCTTTGCGCGCTGCTTTTCGCTGAAACGGGGTTTTGCGATAAATTTGGACCAAAGTTGGGCGCTGTGGCAAGCCGCAGTCTCGCCCTGCCCCGTGCACTCGTGTTTTAATTACCAGCTTCGTACTCGGTGTCGGCCACCTTGACGAGCTTCACGTTACGGTGCGTGTGCTGCTCGGTCTTCTTTCCTGGAAATCAGGGGCTGTTCCAGTGGGGCTTGCAAGGGGCGTCAAAGTCGTGATGGCCCCCTCTTTATGCACTAGACAGGCAGCCGCTATGAAAGAGGCAGGCGAATTGCTTCACACTCTGCTTGAATGTAGACGAGAAGCGTGCACTGTTGGAAACAGCGTTGTAGTTTAGCAGTAAATTTGTTGCCAATTTTCTGAATGACTGAAAGTTGTTACCAGATGAACAGCGTGTCGAGGTTGGTAATTGTGTTGTTGTCACATAACAACCCTCAGTGTGGCTTGACCACCAAACTTGGAAAACTTCGAGGCACGCCACTGGGCTGTTCCGGGACGCGGCCGGGCCGGGCAGGCCGGGCTGGGCAGGCCCGGCGGGCACACGGGACGACGCGTTGGTATCGCACCTGGGATCCAATTGGACCGTGTGCCTATAGCTCATGAGGCGCAGCACAGCGCAGCAGCGCGCCCCAAATAGAGGCTGTTCATCACTGTCGCACCGCGGATTAGTGATTGATGGTGGAATTGTGTCGTCTCATCGCATGGTCGCGCCGAAGCGTCGCCCGCTTCACCTTGCAGTCTGCGACACGCCCAAAAAAGGGGGCAACAAATTGGCGGCTGTCGATCTTGAACCGCTTTGGAAGGCGCGGACCGCACTGCGGAGAAGTGCTGCGAAAGAATTGCAAAGCCCCATCCTTAAGTCAATATGGACTAGTGTCGGTAGCGGCAACCACTTAATTCAACGCTTTGCAAACTAAGAACCCGAATATAAAAATCTCACTTGTTTCAGGCCGCTTTTGATTTTCCGGGCGTGCACTTAGATCAACAAAGATCCGGCCGAGAAAAACAAGGAGCGGGGCCGGTAGTCGAACCCGAGCGCGTTGCGGCGGATCGGCAGTAATTCGATTTTTGCGACCGTGCATTGGCAGCAGTGGGACTGGAGGACGGACATCATGGCCTCCAGGGACTGGGGGGTGTGGGGCGGTCGCAGCGAGCGCTGGCAATAATGGTGGGCTGGCTTCGACGTGGATGGCAAGCCCGGCATATATTGCTCAAGATTACGAGTTCCTCCTACTCTAAAGGCTCCTCAGTGTCTTTATCGCACGTCGCACAGCCGGCCTTCCCCAACCCTGCCTCCGGAGGACCCCCCCTCCCATCCCCCGCCGACAGAGCTAGGCCGGTAATATTGAGTCGTGCTCGGGCGGGCGCTGAGAGATACCCCGCAGCTACGACGGCGCCCGCACCGGCCCCGCTAAACCTACCGCCATCGGCGTGGTCGGTCCGGGTACCGAGGGCACACAAAGGCTGGGCTGCCGCTCGGCGTGCACGTCTACGACGGGATCGGCCCCGCCAGTGCTGGCCCGGGCCGGTCTGGGCCTGCTACCCCAGAGGCTTCCTATTTAACGAGCCCGCTCATCGCAGCGTGGTTGGCGGCCATCGCACCCGAAGCCCCGTCGGGACCGTCGCCCGCAGTCTCTGTTTGCCGTCGTGGTGGCGTTCACCGAGAACCTCAGCGTCGTCGTCGTGCTCCGGACTTGCGGCTCGCCCGCCGCGGCTGTTCTGGTCACTGGGCATAGTGCCATCGTGGGACAGCGCCCGCCCGTGCCAAGCTGGCCTCCCGGGGGGAGGGGGTTTAGCGGCCAGGGGGAAGGCTTTTTGTCATCGACTTGGCCGCCACGCACGCCGTCTTGAGTCTCTTCAAGTTTAATTGTATTTAAATTGCTCTTGGCACCGCATGAGGGAAGCGAGCTCTGCCCAGGCACGTTCACCAGGGTTGTCAGTCTATGTAGGTCAACACTAGAAGTCGCCCTGCAAAAAAAATTTTCGAATCTAAATGTTGGCCGAGGTTATGCGTCATGGCTGGCGTGCCACAGGCCTGGCGACGTTTTAGTGCGCCTTTTTTGCCCCCGGCATGCGGCGGCAGTGCTGCAGGGCGTTATTGATAATACAGTGCGGTCCTTTGCAGAGTACGTGACACTGAGCGAGCTTGAGGAGACGGCCACAACACAATAATTCATAGCCGCAAAAACCCTGGCGAGAAGTGTTGTCAGGAGGGCTTGGGCAAGGACGGCTGGAGTACGGCAGAGAAGTACTGGGGGTCTTTACTCTTGGTCGAGTGTGCCTGCTCTAGCGCCTTAAAAAAAACCATACAGGGAAGCAGAGAAAAACAACCGAAATAAATCGACCGCCGTCAAAACTGCCGCCATGATTAATAAACTGCGGTGCGACTGCAAAGGTGCGCGCTAAAGCAAACAATTTCACGCGTGACGTCCGAACAGATAAAAAATGCGTTTCGTACCAGATTTATGGCACGTCCCCCTCAATGGTGAGGGCCCGTATGCAAATGCCCTATAAATTGGCGAGGCCGCGTCGCGAGTGCCGCGCTCGCCTCCGTCTGATGAATCGCTCGCGAAAGAGGAGATTCCGCGAGATCCTCTGCGTTTTGGTAACGGGTCTGGGCGCTTCCCCGGAACAGATTGGACACATGCGCGCGGCTCAAAAAGGTACGGATGGGTGGGGCGGCGCTCGGAGCTCGTGCGGGCAAAACTGGGTTGTCAGCCTGGTGAATGGGAAAGCATTACGGCACGCTAGATAGTTTCCGCAGTGAAACGAGATATCTCGGCAGGCAGTCTAAACGGCTCGTGTTTTGTCTCGTGTTCCAAGCGGAGTCGGCTTGTGCTGTCGTCAAAGTTTGGAGAGCGAGAGCAGTCACTCCCTTTGTGAGACGTGTTATTGGCTGAGCATGAATCCACTGATTCATCCGAGGTGAAAGCCGTTCTGTCTCTATACGGACGCACCAAAAGCAAGCGACTTTTTTTGGTAATTTCCTTATTTTGTGTGCTTGCTGTATGGGAGCTACTTTTATAAGGATTAGTCCACTTTGCCAGGCGAACTAACGGTCCCGTGATCCTGGTTTCCTGTTTAGCATCGTATTTCTTGCAGCAACGCAGTCAGGATTCGTGAAAGCAGTCACTCCCAGATTTTGCCGGTTTGCCCAGCGCAGCGCTGTGGGCCCACGTCCCCGGCCGTCAGCCAACGCATTCGACGGTTGCATTAAGCGCCCAAGTCCCCCTCATTCTATACGTCCATCTCCCGCCGCTGTTTCCCATTAAAATGCTAAGCAGCGCGGTATGTAACTCGCCCTACATGTTGGCTGAACGCTGCTCCGACGTACCGAGGCGCCCCCCGACCCCAGCCACCCCTTCTCTACTTCTCTCTCGGACCGGGGGACCCGCATAATAGCGGGCCTGCCCCTGCGTGGAACGCAGGCAAGGCCGAAAAGGCGGCCCGTGCATTCGGAGCAGTCCGCGGAGCATGACGTCACGGACCGGCGTCAGCGCCTTGCACGTCTGACGCGACACGAGTGACTCAAAGTCACACACTTCGTCAACCCTTTCAAAAAGAGGCATTCGAAAAATATTGTGCTGCATCTGCGTGCACGTGGTAGCGCATTAAAACCAGTTTGAAGCGCAACGATCCGTGTACCTAAGCGTGGCAATCCCTTTCTGTAGTGAGAACGGACAATGAAACATGAAGAGTCAATATTGACGCCTGTGTGACAGCGAAAATAGGAAGTTCTTATCCCTAGAATTTTAATCGACGGTGATGATTATCGTAGTGAATCCTGTCATGTCTCCTCTTATTGGCCAGGAAATCTCCAAGGACAAGAACACGCCGTTTTGGGTGATTGTACGGTATTGCACGCCGCGAAGTGCGTCTGCTTGATTCGGCAAAGCCGAGAAGGAGGGGTGTTTGCTGACGGTGACACCTGCGAGTATATAAGGAGCGTATACTGCCGCGAGCACATTGCAAGCCATGGCAGCCAGACACGTCGCAGCACTGCTGTGGGGAGCCCTGCTCGTCCAGGTAAAATCACGGGCCTTGATCTGTTCCATTTACATCGTATATTTGGGCAAGCGAAACTTAAGTGAGAAAGGAGATGTGGTAATGTAACTATTTTTGAAGGGAGGATTGGTCTGACTAGCGGGAGCCTCTTTTGATTGCGAATCGTTGTGATTATTAAACAGGCCCTCCTGGCCTTCCCGACGCCCGAGGATGACGCCGAGGACGAAGTGCTCAGCCGGTCCAAGAGGCAGGCGCAGACCATCCAGATGAGTCTGCATAACATCCTGCGCTCCGCGGGCATCGACACCACCGGCATCCCCGACTCCACCATCGAAATCCCGGTCACCACCGGCCGTACTGTGATCCGCGTCCGAGTCCGGGACCCCACCACCACCACGACCACCACTACCACGACAACCACCGAGGCACCGGCCACCGGAGTCACCATCGTCATCCCCGCGAGGCAGACCGACGGCACCGACGTTGACGTGGAAATTATTGTCAATACGGAGGCGCCGGAGACGACCACTCCCGAGCCCACCACGACCACCACGGCGGCACCCAACGAGATCGTCATTATCATCAACGTCAACCCCAGCGAGAATCAACAAGAGTTGACTACCACCGTTGAACCGGAGACCACTACTCTGGAAATCACTACCCTCGAGCCGGAGACTACCACTCTGGAACTGACTACCCTTGAGCCGGAGACCACTACCCTGGAACTGACGACCCTCGAGCCGGAAACCACCACCCTGGAGCTGACTACCCTCGAGCCGGAAACGACCCCGGAGCCAGAAACAACTCCCGAGCCGGAAACGACCCCCGAGCCAGAAACCACCACTGTGGAGGTGACAACCCCGGAGCCGGAAACAACCCCTGAGCCGGAAACGACTCCCGAACCGGGAACGACCCCTGAGCCGGAGACCACTACGATTGTGCTGACGACTGAAGAACCGGTAACGGAACCTCCCACCACGCCGGAGCCTGAACCGGAAGCTCCCACTACGGCGGCCCCTGAACCCGAACCAACAACCACGACTACCACGGCTGCGCCAGCAGCGGCAGGTCCCACCGTCATCGTGAACCCTGCTCCGATGCCCAACATCAACGTCAACACCAACAACGAGATCCACAACAACATCGCCCCCTACCAGCCCGTGTACGTGACGGCCGAGGCCGTCGCCACCACCTCGACTACGGCCGCGCCCACGGTCGTCGTGGAGGCCTCCTCCAAGGGCCCCACCATCCGCATCGAGACTACGGACGAGGCCAAGGTGTCCTACGACCCAGCCACTGGGGCGACCAAGATCGAGACGAACAGGCCGACGGGTACCGCCATCGGTACTGGAACCTCCATGGGGCTGGCTTACCCCGGCATCAGCTCCGGCCTTGGCTGGGGTGGACTCTTCCTGGGTTGAAAAGGCCATCAAATCAGCAAGGCCGTTTATTCTTTGAATAATCGTTTAGTGTTCCCTGAGTGTGTTACCTGGAGGATAGAAGGTGTGTCACTAACATCTCTTGTTTGCTCATCTCGATAAAGGACGAGAAAGGTTTTATGTAGTTTTATGTTCTTATGCAAATGTTACTGCCCTCACAAAGAATCTGGCTGATAAATTTAAGGAAAACTTCGCCATTTTTATAGAGTAACAAAGTACTTGAATTTTGCTTTCTACAACTTGATTTTACATGAGAAACGCGATGAAAAGAGCTTGGGTTCAAACTGGACAGGCTCGGCTGCTAAGGTTTGTTTAACACGTGTCATAGGGTCACAATTTTGTCACTTTTGGAAATGCGGTGGATGGTTTTGACCACTTGTTTTTTTGTTGAAAAGTTGTAAGCAGAACCAAAAATATACGGTTAGCTTGCCTTGGCACGCGACAGTAATTAGAAGCAGCCGGTAAACGCGTTATCCAACGGCCGAAACTCTCCCTGAGAAACGCGCGTGCCGAGCCTAAATCATGAAAAAGTTTTGGCCCAGCAGGGACACGCCGCCGTGCTGATGTTCGGATGACAAAGGGGAAGGGATGTTGAACGCGAGCTGGCCGAGCAGGGAGGAGCTGTCGGTTTTATTTCTGCTGTCGTCACGGCGATGAGAAGCCGAAACCGGGGGGAGGGGAAACCCCGACGGAAAAAGGGCTACGTCCGACTGTGACGTGTGGGTCTGGTGAAGACTAGGAAAGGGAGGAGGGACTGCGATGTATCGCACTGTCGATGCTTTTTGCCGATTGCGCTAGCCATATCCGAGTCAGGGGCTGGCTGCCGACCCTGAAGGCTGGAGAGTGAGTGCGTGCTTGGGGTGTGCCACGTGAGAAAGCTCAAACAATAACAGTGGGCGGTGATTTTAGGGTCCGAGTGCGGTCGCTCTTGCGGGACGGCGTCTGTTTCAGGGCAAGGGCGTAATGTGCGCCATTATGACGCAGTATGCTGAGTCCTCGTACCGCCAGCTGAGCACACACACTCTCACACAACACGTCGGCAGCTGGCGGCCTGCAGTCGCAACCTTGTAGACACGTCACGCCTTAACTTGCTGTGACGATCAAATCAGTCGGTCGATGCGACACGCTTTTGCGTGTGCGTTCCCAAGGGCAGGGTCAAATCGCCCGGAGCGACAAACAAACCCTCAAATTTGGATCGAATGGGTCGAAAAAAGGCACCGACCTTCGGAAATCAACGATTTTTTGGTGGGTAGGATCTGAAGGAAGCTTTCGCCATCCATGCATAAATGCATTGCATACAACCAACTTTTCCGAGACATTTTTTTATTGGCTTTCTACAAAGTTGTGGTCGGACTGAAGCGAGGCGCCAGGTTGTTGTCGCCGTGCCGCCCACCGCGCTGCTGGCCGTCCAGCAGACTGATTCCGAGGGCCGTTTCCGTCGCTCTCGCTCGCATGGGCTCCGCGTAGAGGTGCGAGAGAGACAGCGACGAAAACGACTCTCGGCATCAGTCTGCAGGCATTGTCCGGCCGGCCAGCGCGTTGCACAAAGCGGGCCTGCTTGGCAGCGAACGCGTCGACGCCTTCAGATCTATTATTCATTCGCCGCTGTCTCCCGCAGACGCCGCGCCAGGGCGCTACCGCCCCGCCACCGCCGCCGCGCAGCCGTCACGGCGTGGTTCTCAGGGACGCGTTGAACTTGGCGCGGACGGCGGGCACGACGCCTGGCAGGCGCGGCAGCGCTGGCAGTGGAGGGATGCTGAGGTTGGGCAGCGGGGGGATGCTGAGGCTGGGCAGCGGGGGGAAGTTGACGTTGGGCAGCGGCGGGAGCCTGACGTTCGGCAGAGGTGGGATGCTGATGCTGGGCAGCGGCGGGATACTGAGGCTGGGCAGCCCCGGCAGCGACGGCAAGGGCAGGGTGCCCAGCGCGGTGGAGACGCGAGCCAAAGTGCGGTTGCCGAAGGCCATGCCCGTCGCCAGGCCGTCCTGAAGGACGTGCGCCGGCAGCGAGATCAAGTCCTGCGCCTGGAACAGGGACAAGGCCGTACAGCATCATGCATTCCGAGGCCCGAAGGCCGCCTGCGAGGCAGTCCACCTGGCGGCCGCCGTGTCTTGCGGGCCCGCCTACCCTCTCCATCACAGGGGCTTCTGTCTCCAGGCGGGACGCCGCAGAGTCCGCCGACTGTCTTAGGGGCCGTACCCATATTACGTGACCGGTTTTAGGCCACTTTTGGACCCCCTCCCCCCCCATCGTGACACACCGTAGGATCTTCGCGAACCCCCCTCCCCCCCACCGATGTCACGTAGGATTTTCTCAAAAGCTGTTTTTCGTCTAATTTGATGTTTCCTGATGTGAAGAAAGACAAAGATCATCGATGAAGCCATTCCAGTCGTTGGTGAGTGAAGAACAAGAAGCCGCACAAAACCGGAAATGGCGCCGTCCACCCGTTCGAGTGCAATAATTTTAGAGGTTCCCGAATCCTCTTGCGTTGATATGCTATTAGGCCTGTTTCTAATCGGTACCTCCTATCGAAAAGCGCTCAAATTTCTGGGGTCGCTTAGAACTCGCTCATCTTGGGGAGCGTCAGAAGAACCCGCTCAGCTTGGCGGCCGTCCGGAGAAACCGCTCATCTCGCAGCGCGCTCGGAGAAACCGCTCACCTTCCCAAATACGGGCGGCGGCTGCCAGATTTACAAATGTACTTCATATGCACTGACTCTTTATTTGGGTCGAAATGATTAATCACATGCTCTCGTCAGAATCAGAACTTTGTTTTACATCTAAGGTTAGCTTCAAATGTTGACTGGATTGGCAGTAATTAACTAAATACGAGCGGCAACATAACCTAACCAGCGCCCGGCCGCGCGGAGGTGAGCGGTTTCTCCGAGCGCGCTGCGAGATGAGCGGTTTCTCCGGACGGCCGCCAAGCTGAGCGGGTTCTTCTGACGCTCCCCAAGATGAGCGAGTTCTAAGCGAACCCAGAAATTTGAGCGCTTTTCGATAGGAGGTACCGTAATACTTATTGGTAAAGGAAAGAAACATATTTCTCAACATTTCTCCCTTAAACTGGGCTCGCTACCTGCTCGTTATCCACTTCATTTTCGGTTTTGTTCTTCTTGTTCTTCAGTCGACGACTGGAATAGTCTATTAGCTCATAGAAGGGGTCTTTTTTTGGAACCCTGAAGGTCAGAGGAAGTAAAATTTAAGCAATTTTACATCAAATGGCGACTTTGAATTCATAAAACGACCGCTAAAACTTGTCATATTTCGGGAAACTTGGTTTCTGTCCGCTTGGATGCAGCAGGAACAGATATCTGTTGCCTGACCGCGCCGCTACCTCGTGTGTTTTGCTATCATAATTTCCAAATTCGTGACTACGTGACTTTTGAATTAACCCCCCCTCCCCCCTCGTGACCGTCCGTAGGATTTGGCCGAACCCCCTCCCCCCCCTAAATCGGTCACGTAATATGGGTACGGCCCCTTATCTCTGGGACGCTCGATCGACAAGATCGACAATGGCCTTCCCTGCTAGGGTAGAGTGCCGCCGAGTTAGTGTCACACACACACACACACGGCTCCATATTCCGTGCGCGCAGCAATAATAGCCGCAATTTCATTCCATCTCGCTCCACAATGTTTCCTGTCGTTGCAAATGATACTAATGGTACGGCGCACTGGAAAGCACGCCGAGTCTGGACTGCAGAATCCCCCCATCCCCCTTTTCTCTTCCTCAAACCCATCCCGCGAGCCAACAACGCTAAGCCTTTTTTGACTGGTCAGCTGTGCTGCGTTTGCTTTTAAAAACAAGAATAAGAGAACTATTCGTTTGAACATTTCGTTGTGGTGGGTTTGTTTCCTGGTTGTTCGTTGGCGTTTTTGTGTTTTTGCACTCGCTCTGCCCCAAATCCAGCTTTAACGTACCTGGGCCGCGGATAAACACCCCAGGAGCAGCACGGCGATTCCTCGCACCCACGGCATGGCTGTGACGAGGCGGTCTGGGCGGAGCGGCTACCAGCGGACGCTCTCATTTATACGAGGAATTGTGCCGACTGGATTCCCCCCGCCCCTCCCCGCTCCCTCATCAAACACATCCCGTCTGCCCGCTTTCTGCCCTCGTATATGTGTGTACTAACTGACTGTTCGCTGGGCTTATAAAAATGTTTTTATTAAGTTCTGGGATGAAACACAAATAAAAGTCTCAAAATGAGAGAAATGAGAGGGGCAGTCCCTTAATCAACGAAAGGCTCACTTTCCGCATCCCTTTTTGCCCTTCTTGCCCTTGCCCTTGCCCTTGAACTTCTTCTTCGGGGAACGCTTGGAGCGGCTGCTGCCGCTGCTCTTGCTGGGAATGCTGACGCCATCCTTCACCGCCATGTTGTTGATGCTGTTGACGAGGGCGTTGACGTTGTCTTCCGAGATGTACACGTTGGTCAGGGTCTTGGCCAGCTTGTCCAGGTACCTGGCGCCGTTGTCCCTCAGCTTCTTCTCGACGCGGGTCTTGATGTTGGCGAGCGTGCCGGACATCTTGTCGATGTCGCCGCCGGCCTTAACCACGCCCTGCACGAGCTCCAGGAAGCCATTGACGATGGCGGTCTCCTCCTCGTCCAGGCCGACCGACTTGGCGGTCACACGGACCTGGTCCGCCGCCCTGCAGGCCTAATAAAAAAAATAATTTAGAAACACACAATGAGTCTTGTTTCATTTTCTTTTTCATTCAATGCATTAATACTCTGAGAATATCAAACACATCATTAGCTGAAGGTTTACACGTTGCTGTAGAACCGGGAAATTGTTTTCACCGTGGACAGACAGGTAATTGAAACGCTTCAACTGGGCCTCACATTTACGTCGGAGCGGATCACATGCAACGCAATAAATTGGCGTCCCTTTTTCTGATCCGTCCGCGAGTCAACGCCACGCGGCCGCGCCGTTTGCACAGCCGTCAGACCGCATTGTCATCACTGGCGTCATTAAAAATCCACGTGTGCTGCCTGCGGCCGGCCGGACCGCGCGGCTCACTGCTCAAATGCCGTTCACCTGATGCGAAAGGCTGCTGGTTTTTTTTTCGGCACGATGTGTCTGACAGCCATTGATCACGACGAGACCCCATCCCACACACTAAATGCTTATCTCCTATTATTGTCCATAACTTGTTCAGGACAGATACATACATTAGTGGGCTATGTATTATAAAGTTCATAAATAAGGTACAATATTTTCGTTTTCCGCTTCATGCACAAAAAATCATTTAGTGTGCGTTTGGGGCCTTTTCGACGGGACTCTATCGAAGTTCGGCGACCGAAATCGAATTTTGAAGCGAGCTGAGGAAACGACACTGCACTGGACGGCTGGTTGCCCTTATCGGCGACTCTTCGGTGACCTAGCCTCACCTGGATGGCCGCAAACGCCAGTAGGGCCGCAAACAGGATCTTCATCGTGTCACGAACACACTTCTACGTGTGGCGACGGGAGCGCCTAGCCGCCCCCTTATAAGGCCTCCGAGCCGCAACTGCGCAAACACTGCGCACACATCTCCAAATCATAGCGCAGCGTAGCGCAGTGTTGACGCCTCTTTACCAGTAGGCGCCAGTAGGCCGTGTGTTTCAAAACTCGCGTACTTTTGGAAAATTTTCATCACAACAAACTACGTGAATTGATACGCGTACTCGAAATAAACAGGCCTACTGCGGAGAGGTATCGCGTTTAGCTTCGGGTGAAGCCGAAAACAAGAGGTCCACTGCGTCGGCACCTCACGGCTTGGCGCTTCAACGCGCAGCTAAACAAGTTTAATTTTGTTTCTATTAGTGTGACGGTAACGTGACAGATTTAAAAGAAAAAGGCATTTGCTCTTGTTTCTTCAGCGCGGCCGAAACCTTTTTTTTCCTGGCCGCCGGAGGGGTGGATGTCATTTCTCGCTCTTTGCCACCCTTTACAAATTGTGCGGGTTGTTTATTGGTGCCCCGCAGCCGCTATGGTCAACGATTCCCATCGTGTTTGACAAGCAAAAAAACTGCCGCAAATTTTCCCCCTCGACTTGTGTCGAATGTTCCGCTGACGCACCACGCAGTAGGCCACACCAATGGATTGCTCTCCAAACGACGAATCCATTGGCGAAGTCACACGTTCGGTTCAGGTCCCATCTAGCGACTCTGGAGCTCAAAACGCGTCTCGAATTTTGGCCGCCTCCGCCGGTCTTCTGGCCCACTGTTGCTCGGGCCACTGTGTTCGAAGTAGACCAGCTGCATGCGAACGGCAGCCACGCCTTCCACGAAGGCCTCGCCATCCCGGCGCTCTGCATACGTGTGTCTTGCGCCACGCCACCGTCACAACGAAGGCCTGCAATTGGCTGTGCGCACCAAATGTTTATGAGCTACATAACTATTGCCACAACAGCACGTCTCTTTCGATGAAAGACGGATCTGATGACGGGTGCAATAATCCGAGGACAAGTCACCAGCAGGCTGGCAGAGAAAAGCGGTCCGCCGCCACCGGTATTCGAACCCGGGCCACGTAGATGGCCGATTGGGAGGGCGACTTCGATACAGTCTTTATGGGTCTCTCTCTGTGCGCGGCGGGGCGTCCTTGGCCGGCAGGGTGGACTCGCTCCAGCACACTGAGAGCCGCTTTCGTCGCTCTGTCGCTCTCGCACTCACGGGGCGTCCGCTGTGCGCGAGAGTGACAGAGCGGCGTTTCCCGTTCTGCAGCAGCGGTCCGGCCTGGCTGGAGCGCCTGGAGCCTCGCTGGAGCCAAGGGCCGGCCTGCGGTTTTCGTTTGGGATCGTGGCGCACTGTGCGGATATTGCTTCCGAGTGTTTTCCAACGACGCTGCGCTACTCAGCAGGCCGGCCGTATGTCTGATTTCACACACACACACACACACACACACACACGCGCGCGCGCGCACACTTACACACACACACACACACACACTTCCAGCTCGCCACGGCGCGACGGGGTGGACCGAGCGAGGCGAGGGCCTTTATTGCTTTCGGAGAGCTGGCCGAGACGCCCTGCCTGTTGACTCGTCTCCACTGTGTGTCTCCGTGGCCGCGGTGGTAGAGGCGCGTGCTTTCGGCGCCCGGGGTGCCGGGTTCGACTCCCGCCGACCGGAAAATAAAAATGAAGGCGTCCGCTGGTGTGGATTGGTGCGCGTTTCGCGACTCAACTGATGCCTCGCTCCTGCCTGGCCGTTTGAACTGAATGGACACGCCGCTGGGGCTGCCTACGCTGAGCCACGCAGTTCGTGCGCGTCGCGAGCTGCTTCAATGGAATACGCTCTGGCCGTGCGCCCTTCATGCATCCTCGTAAAAGATTTCCGACCCTTTTCAAACCCTCTCGACCCACTCCGCGGACTTTGAACGCCTTTCCCCCCACTTCTCCGTTTTTACGTGTTGCGTGCCAAATCCCGTGCATGCCTGTCGTGCCCGAGGCCGCGGCCTGTCTGCCTGTCGAGGGCCTTCCGCTGGGGGAGCTTTGCCTCGAACGCGGGGGGATTGACGCACGCCGTCGGCACGCCGGCCATCGGAAAGGTGTACTACGGCGGGGCCCTGCCGGCACAAACGGCGCACGGGGCCAAGTTTGCGCAATTTTCTTTTTCAATGTCACTTTGGGGAACTTGTTGGCGTAATGGAATAGCGTCGCTGCGCCATCCCATCCCGCCGCGCGCCTGACCAGCGCCCCTCCGCGCCCCGCCCCACCACGCCCCGCCACGCCCCGCCCCACCACGCCCCGCCACGCCCCGCCACGCTGAGTTTAAACTGTCGGAGTTAGCGTCTTGTTGAGCACGCGCTCGATGTTTCTACTTGTGCGCTAGTTTCTTGTTTATGTGTGTACGGCGGCGCTAATCCTGGCGCCGCCGCTCGAGATGAACACTACTTCCGGCCAGTCGCAACGTTTTCCGATCCCCACCCCCCTTGTCTTGTTTCGATAGTTCCGATGAGACCCTTCGGCGCTGCCTCTGGAATTTGGTGCAAGTTTGGAACATGCTGCCCCCTGAAGGCACTGCACCCCAACAAATGTCCCCGGCTCGGTCTGTCCCGCCTGTCATTTTGACCAAAGTGGTGAACTTGCTTCATGTTTTTGTGCTAAAGAAAAATACACAGATAAATAGAACTTTTTTTCGTTTCTGTGTTGCAGTTCGTCCGAGTACAACCGCCTCGCCGTCAGGGTTGTCATCGGCGACGTCGCCCCCTCCGACGCCTAGCAGTAGCCCGTCAGCAGGACAAGCTGGCCCAACTCGGACGGCAACCAGTCTGCCGTGGTTCTCAACGAGGCCGTCAGCCTCGACGACCTCAACCAGGACGCCGCGAACGGCGCCCCCCTCATCGGCCTCCACAACCAGGACGCCGTCAACGATGTCCGGCTCATCGGTGACCTCTACCAGGACGCCGTCAACGGTGTCCAGCTCATCGGTGACCTCAACCAGGACGCCGTCAACGCTGTCCAGCTCATCGGTGACCTCAACCAGGTCGCCGTCAACCTTGCCCAGCTCGTCGGCGCCCTCAACCAGGACGCCGTCAACGGTGCCCTCCTTGACCTCAACCGAGCCGCCAACAACGACACCCGCATCGTCAGTACGCCGAAGCACGACGGCCTCTTCGTCGGCGACCTCAACCAGGACGCCGTCGACGCCGCCCTCTTCCGCCTCACCGCCAACCAGGCAGCCGGCAGCACCGACGAGGACGCCCGCAGCGACGAGCACTTCGCCGTCAGCGGCGGGCTCGCCGCGTCAGCAGTCGGCCTCGGACACGGCGGCCACTCCAGCTGGACCGCCGCGCAGTCCGTCGACTCACGCTGCCGCGCCCGGCAGCACTTCTCCGACAAGACCGCCGTCACCAGTGACCAGCGGAACTCCTGGACCGCACCGGCCAACAGCAGCCTTTGAAGTGACGACCGAGACCGCAAGCGGGGGCCGGGCCGTGGGCCGGGCAGAGGGGGCCATCACGGCGGCGTGGCGCGCAAACAAGCCGGTGGCGCAGGGAACTTGGCCGGGAAGCGCGGCGCCGTGCTCAAAGGGTGACAAGTGCGCGCCCGCCGAGGCCGTGTCCGAGGCCGTGTCCGAGGCCACGCCCAAGGCGGTGTCGGAGGCCACGCCCGAGGCCGTGTCGGAGGCCACGCCCGAGGCCGTGTCGGAGGCCACGCCCGAGGCCGTGTCGGAGGCCACGCCGAAGGCCGTCCCCGAGGCCGTGCCGGAGTACCGGTCCGGCGACCCCACAGCCCTCCGCGGCGACATCTTCCAGCGCAGCAAGCTGGAGCCGGCGGAGACGCCCAGCCCCGGCGTCGTCACGGCGGCCGTCACTTCCAGCGCCCTTCCGGCCACCCCGTCGACGCCGGCCCCCACCATGACCCTGCTGAACCTCGCCGAGAACCTCATCAGCGGCTTCGCCGTCATGGTGCTGCAGTCCCAGGTGCACGTGGACGAGCCCGGCGCCGTGGAGCAGAAGGACGAGAAGGCCCAGAACCAGCTGGAGGACATCTTCTTCAAGCCCGAGCCCATGCAGTTCGCCACGCCCAACAACACCGTGGTGGTGGCGCAGCGTGGCACCACCGCCTACCTGCCGTGCGTCATCAAGAACATCGCCGACGGACTGGTGAGTTCCAGCTTGGCATTTGCAATCTGGTACTTTTTTAAACATTTTTAACGGTATTGGTGTGTGCCAACGGCCTGATAAGTGAGTAGTCAACCGCTTCTTCTTGGCAATTTTAAAAATATTTCTTGAAAAATTTCCTTTAAGTGGCCGGCCGCTTCTTCTTGCCAAATATTTTATAATTTTCTACCAGTTTTACGTCCGTTGGCAATCATTTTGTTTTTAAAAAAAACTTTTTTACGGTGTCCGTGTGCGGCCCGAAGTGAGTGCCCGGCTAGGCCGCTTCTTCTGGCGTGCCGCCGGAGCTCGTCAAGAAGATCCGAGAGTTGCTGCCCTGCCCCGCGTCCGGCCTCTGTCTTGCCTTTTTTTTTTTGTTTTGCCAGTGCAGTGGTGAAAAGCTTGGGAACCCGGAGGCGTGCGGCTGGGAAAGGGGTGGGGGAGGCCGGGGGAGGAAATTAGGAGGAAAAGATTACCGGAAAGACGACGTGGAGATGGAGGGGGAAGAGGACGTATAATACGTTCGTCTTTCGACCACTGCACAGTGGGCCAGAAGACCACTGTGCAGTGGACCCCCCCCCCCTCCCTTTCCCCCAACCTCTCTTTCCCACGCCGCACTTGAGCGGCCGTTTAAGCCCGTTAGTCTGTCAAAACGGAGGAAGGCTAACGGCCACGCGAAGATGGGGGCAAAAAGGAAAGAAATTAATAGCGAGTCGCGCGCTTTTTGCTCCCAGCACAAGCAAGTCACGCTTCGTGCGGGAAAGAAAAAGAAGAAGAAGAATGTGTGTGATTCTACTGCCATCGCATACTTTCTTTGCAGTCAATAGTTGCGTCTGCGTCCATATTTAGCTCACGTATTCCTCCGTTAAGCCTTTTTGTCTGCGCTCGGCCGTCTCATTTGCCTTGGCAAGGTCGTGGATCCAAGGAGAGAGAGAGAGAGAGAGAGAGAGAGAGAGAGACGGAGGGGGTGGGGTAGACGTCGGGATTGTGCTTCTTACCGCACGATGCAGTGTTGGCAAAGTAACCATGTCCGTTTGACTGGCGAAGCCATTTATCAGGGGAGCTATACGCAAATTACACAGCGCCAAGGCCGCCGCCCCACCCCACCCCGCCCCGCCACGCCACGCCCCGCCCCGCCACGCGGTATCCGGCGGGACGGGACACTTTTTGCCCGCGTCGAGGTGGGAGGGAGGGGGGAGTAGGAAGAGCATGATGAGGGGTCAGTGCGAAGGGCCGCGACGAGTCTCGTCCTTGGGGCACACTGTGGAAATTTTAATGATTGTCACTCGATGAACAATGCCAGGGTCATTTTCCTGACAAGCATGTCAACGAAACAATTGCCGATAGTGGGGCGGGGAGGAGACTAATTTCTTTTAGGAGACATTTTTTTAACAAATTTAAAAATTTGGCGTACATTGATAAAAATGGAGGGTTTCTCCAGGTCAAGAGCACTCCTTCTATCTCAAGTCAAGGGCATTTCTTCATATCCTGCACTCAATTTTTTGTATAATTAAACGCCATTAATTTCCACATATTGTGCGCAGCAGTATAGAACACCACCACCACAGCCACCAGGTGCCTCACGTTTTTTTTTTGTTTTGTTTTTTTTATTCAACCGAACGGGTGGAGCATGCGGTGTGCTAATCGCACTCTTCCCGGGTGGAAGGATCTGTAGTGAAACTGCAGTTTAAACTGTAGTGCCAAAACTACAGTTCCTGAACTGCAGTTTTTGTTAAGAACAAAGTGCAGAATAAGTCCAGTTTCAGTTTGCTCATGGATCTGTAGTTTGCTGTGTATGTAAACTGCTTTCCAGATGAACTGCTATTTGTTGGCCAGGTATTAAGTACTATCTGTAGTTAAAAAGTGAAGTTAAAAGTTTCTCAATACTAATCTACTTAAATAGTCCACTACTGAAGATCTGCCTACACTTATATCTGCAGCAGGATCTACAAAGGAAATAAAGTTTCTGCTCATACTTTTTTACACAATGACAAACTAGTTGAATGTTTACTACAATTTGTAGTAATTTTTCGCTTAAGGCATAGTTTAAGATGTCAAGCACTGCAACTTGATATGAAGAAACAAAAACAATTACATTGAGTGATTAAAATAATATAAGGATTGAAAAGGAAATATCTCTTAGAAGTTTCAGTTATTTCTTTTGAAGGTTTACGTTGAAATACTTGACGTTGGAGACTTTTAGAAGACATGACTAAACTTCCATATGAAAACCTATATGGCTGAATGTAACCAATTCTTAAAATACTATCTGGTTATCTGCTTGCTTATTTTATAATGTTCCATATTGGTCAGGTAGCATGTCACAAAGTATCGTGGAAATCAACAAGCCACAAAATTTAGCCAGCTTGTCGCCAAACAAGGTCTAGCTAAGTGGCATCAAATTCATTATGACTGGATGATAAAATGTCAAACACAAATAAAACTAGAAAGCATTATGATGCAGTGCGTCTCAGAAGTTGAAAAGGTAACGACTCCAGTCGTTGAAAATTAAGACCTTGAAGGCTCTCTGAATTAAATCACTCCATGGTGTCTTGGTTTCTGAGGTAAATTCATTATAAATTACATTTTGGACAAGTGGATTTCACTCAAAGTACAGAGTGGCTTACAGTAAAACTGTAGTTTTCTAGTAGTTGAACTCTGGTTCCTGAGGAAAGCCGGCCTTTCCATGTGGTCGAGTAGCCAAGCCCCTATCCACAAGGAAGCTCAGTGGAGCAGTGGTCAAGGCCTCTGCTTCACAAGTCATGGGTCCGAGATTCAACTCCCGGCAACATCCAATCACAAAACACAATTAACTCAAAGTCAACCACCTAAGGGGTCAGAGGGAGGAAGAGTCCTCTCAAATCAGGGTTCAAAAATTAAAAATTTTGAATTTTGAACCAAAATTTCAAACTGCAGATTGTCTTCTCCTTTGAACTAACTCTGGCTGTGTAACTAAACTACAGTATAACTGTACTTTGAACTATAGTTAACTGATCTGAAGACTAGGACAACCTGGGTCAAAAACTATAGTTGTCCGAAATAACTGGTACTTTTTTTGCAGTTTAATTGTAGTTTACTACAATTAAACTGTAGTTGAACTACACTTTACCTGCAATTAAACGATACATTACAGTAATTTAAAGTATGAAAAAAACTATTTAAAAATTGAGTTGAACATTACAAAAAATCTATATTTTTCCAATGTAGTGTAAACTGCAGATCCTTCCACCCGGGTTAAATAATTAACGGCGAGGAAGCGCGAGGGGTGCTTTTTCTCTCATTGAAGACCCGGCTGCCGCGCACTGCCGCGCACACGCCGCCTGGAACGGGACCGCGGCTAACAAGATGGCCGCGGAACACGCTAGCTCGTTAACCGTTATTGCAATGTTTGCTGAGGTACACTGCTAGAAAAAGGCGGAAGAGTGCGTGTGTGTGTGCGTGTGTGTGTGCGTGTTTTCTTAATGATGCGCGAGACGAGATAAACTTTCGTTCGTCTGGGGGTTGGTTGTTTTGTTGTTGTAACGGAGATACAGAGAGAGAGAGAGAGAGAGAGAGAGAGAGCAAAATGAATTTTCTTTCAAAGAAACCTAGTTTATTGTTATTTTTTTTTCACCCTGCCACTGGCTGCTCAATAACTTTCTGGTGTCGTTTCCGACCCGGCGATGCGAGGCAGTCGTCGCCGCAGACCGATTTCCGAGAGTCGCTCTGTCTCTCTCGTACCCGTACGGGACGCCCCGTGAGTGCGAGAGAGACAGAGCGAAGAGAGCGACTCTCGGAATCCGCCTGCTGCAGCATGCGGCCGGAAGAAACGCTTTGCGTCGCTCCGCGTGCATACGTCACACTGTATACTCGGTGGTGGGCGGGGCGGCTGGGAATGGCGTGGGCGGGGCGGGGCGGCGAGAGGGGTATTATTCTTTCTGTGACGCGCGGCGCTCCAACCGACCTGTTTCATAGTTTAGCCCATTACGGCGCACGGCTTAGCTTTCATCTTCCAGCGCGGCAACCCGGCTCGCTGCGACACCTCATGCACTACTTATCACTAGTGCCAGCGCCTCTGTGCGTGTGTGTGTGTGTGTGTGTGCGCGTGCACGCGCGCGCAGGGAAAGGGGTGGTGAGTCCGAGTATGTCAGTCCCTTCTTTGTCGCTTCACTCTATGTCCTTTTGGACTTCCCTGCTGGACGCCCCCCCCCCCTCTCTCTCTCTCTCTCTCTCACTCTCTCTCTCTCTCTCGCTGGAACCGGTGCCCTTTTTTGTTGAGACTTCCCCGCGCGTCTTGCTTTCTCTGCCTAGTTTCCTTCTTCGTTCCTCCTTGCCGGGGAAGGTGTCTCCGTGGCGGCGGTCTCGAGGCCGAGCTCCCCCCCCTCTCTCTCTCTCTCTCTCTCTCTCTCTCTCTCTCTCTGTCTCTCTCTCTGTCTCTCTCTCTCTCTCTCTCTCTCTCTCTCTCTCTCTCTCTCTCGCTCTCTCTCTCTCTCTCTCTCTCTCTCTCTCTCTCTCTCTCTCTCTCTCTCTCTCCCGCGTTGCTATGGTGTTTTGTTGTCGTGGAACGCACCATGCCTCCTTTGTTCGCGACGAATGTTATGAATAACTCATTTACGGGGAGGGGATTCGGCCAGAGCTTGAGCCTTGCCGCGTGCCATGCCCTGCCCTGCCGTGCCGCGCCGCGCCGCGGAAGGAACGGAAAAGTTGTTGTTGGCTGGGTCACGGGGTTGCGGTGAGCTGGAAGACGGCTTGGAAGGCGGTCTGGATGGCGGCCTCCGTGGCGGCGAAGGGGCGCCGTGACAGTGTGCCCGTGATTTGTGGAGGTGCAGACTTGGCAGCGCGCACCGCGCCGCACCGCGCCGGGCTGGGGGGTGCAGGGTGTGGCGGCTGCCAGACAGCCAGACTGCCAGCAGACTGATTCCGCGAGTCGCAGTATTCGTCGCTCCGTCTCTCTCGCACCCGGACGGGACGCCCCACGAGTGCGAGAGGGACGGAGCGACGAAAAACGACGCTCGGAATCAGTCTGCTTGCGGGCTGCCAAACGAAAACAGTGACGAGAGCCGTACGCCGGCAGCGGCCTAGTCGCTGTTTATTCAGACGTTGTCGCGACGCGGCGTCTCTCTCGCACTCGCGGGGGAGTGCTGGGGCTAGGCCGGTGCGGGAGCGGCGTGTGTGTGTGTCTGTCTGTCTGTCTGTCTGTCTGTCTGCCTGTCTGTCTGTCTGTCTGTCTGTCTGTCTGTCTGTCTGTCTGCCTGTCTGTCTGTCTGTCTGTCTGTCTGTCTGTCTGTCTGTCTGTCTGTCTGCGTGTCGGAGCGGGCGGAGCGGGCGCAGGCACTTTGTGGCGAGCCACAAATTGAAAATGGCACCGGGGTTAAGGGGAGCATCGCTCGAGCATTCTTGGGGTGCATTAATTAGTCAGCGACCGAGCAGATGGTACCGGGGCCTGGATGCGGGCCTGGGTCCCCGGGCCGGAGGAGCTGCCTGGGGAGAGCCTGTCGCCTGGCGGCGGGCGGGAACCTTCCGGGAAACCTCGGAGCCTGGAGGCTCTCCGCGCAAGCTCCGCTCCCCCGGGCGCTCTCCCGGCCGACGCCTTTCTCTCTCGGACTGACTCCGCGAGTCGCGTCCGTCGCTCTGTCTCTCTCGCACTCGCGGGCCGCTCGCTCACGGGTGCGAGAGTGACAGAGCGACCAACACGACTCTCGGAATCAGTCTGCCGCTGCCGAGATTCTTCGCACGACCGGAGCTCCCCGGGAAAATTGCCACGTCTTAACCTCCAGGCTGAGGCGGCGGAGCGGCACACAGTGGGCCAGAAGACCGGCGGAGGCGGCCAAAATTCTAGGCGCGTTTTGAGCTCTAGGGTGACCCTGTGCAGGACTCGAACCTTACGTGTGACCCCACCAATGGATTCCTCGTTCGGAGAGCAATCCATTGGTGGGGTCACACGGCCGGTTCGAGTCCCATTTAGCGACTCTGGAGCTCAAAACGCGTCTAGAGCTTCTGCCGCCTCCGCCGGTCTTCTGGCCCACTGTGCGGCAGGGCGGCGAGGCGCGCCAAGCGGATCGACCCTTATTCGCCGAAAGAAGGGAGACAAAGCAAAGGCAACCGGCGGCAGCGGCCCTTTCTCAGCCTCCTTACGCGATTCATATCAAAAACTAGCGCGCCAGTCCGTGCGCCACACACACACACGCACACACACACACACACACACACACACACGCACGCACGCACGCATGCACGCACCAGGACACGGGGTGCAATTACTGCAGACATGTTGTGTGGCGAAGAAAATCCTCGAGCCGGAAAGCTAATTCGAAGGGCCCACGCACGCACATACACGGACACACACACGCACACACACACGCACGCGCGCGGTCCGCTGCCTCTCGGCCTTTTCATGTCCTCCGGGAGATAACATCAGCGGCGGGGATGCGAACGTCTTCTGATAGCGCTTTCCGTGGCTCATTAAGCGCGCTGCGGGGATCCAGAAAGGATTTCATTTGACTTGGGGGACCCTTTACGCACACTGCGTTTCTCTGCGCGTGTGTGTGTGTGAGCGTGTGTGTGTGTGTGTGTGTGTGTGTGTGTTTGAGCGTTGTCTGGACGGCCGCTTTGTCTACTTGCTCGTCATCATCAGGGCGGGCACGTTGAGGTACACAGAACCATATCTCCGGGGCTTCCAACTGGACCGTAACGTAGCACACACACACACACACACACACAATATCCTTGCTAGACTTCCCCGCAGATGCTAACATCTCTTCGCCGGGTCCACGACCACCGCTTGGAGTGCTCGGCCAAGCTCCCAAGCCTCTCCCCCTCCCTCCCCCCCTCTCCTGGAGGAAACGCGGTAACGAACCTAGGGGCGGTTTCTCTGCGCCCCCCCCCCTCCCCCTTGGGGTCCGTCTTTTCTCACGCCGTCGTCGTCGCCCCTCCCCTCGGATTCGCTTTCGCCCATCTTTCCAAACAATCTCATTTCTCTTCATGTTTTTCGCATAATGCGACAAGGCGCCATAGTTCCACAATTTTTCACACTGGCGCACAAGCAATATAACCCCCCCCCCCCCTTTTCCCTTCCTCTCCGCCTTGCCGCTCTCATTCATGACCTACTCCCTTGTTGCCGCCACTGCTTTAGCCCGCGCGCTGCGCACTGATTCCGAGAGTCTCGCTCCGTCCCTCTCGCACTCACGGGGCGTCCCAGTGTGCGTGCGAGGGAGACGGAGCGACGAAAACGACTCTCGGAATCAGTCCGCTGCGCTGCCGCTCCCCGGCCCCTTGACGTCGCCAAGTAAGCGCCGTGCACGTGAGGGCCCTATTGACGCTCGGGTTTGTTTCCCCAGCGGGGTGCGCCCTCTAATTCGGACATATAAGGACAGACAGGCAGACAGACAGACAGACAGACAGACAGATTGAGGCAACCTACCCCAACCTCACACGCGGCCGGCACTGCAACACAATCTTTTTCCTCCTCCTTTTTTTTCTCTCTCTCTCTTTTCGTCAATTGCCTTGTACACGTCCCCCTTATTAAGGCGGAAGGCCCCCAAACGTTGTCGTAGGGAAGCCTGCTTTCGTCCTCGCCCCACCCCACCCCGCCCCACCCCGCCCCACCCCCGCCACGTGCAACAGGAGGGGCCAAACAGCATTGTGGCACGCTGGAACACACACGGTGTGTGGCGTGCCGTCGTCTAACAAGAGTATCGCCGGCAAGGGGGGGGGGGGCAGAAAGGGGGTAATTGCATGCGTCTTCCGTCGGAGCGCCCACACACACACTCACACACACACGCGTGGGTGGAGGAGGCACACCGCCAACCAACACCACCTACGCCAGCCAAGCTGTGTCAAGAAGCCGCCCGCCGTGGTCGCCTTTTCCCGGAAACGCGCCGCTTTTCGCTGGAAATTTCCAGGAAGCCCTGCTGCAGCACGCGGGGAGGGCCCTGGCCCAGGCCTGTGGACTCCGCCGGTCTTCTGGCCCACTGTGCAGGTGTGGTGAGAGGGCGCCCTCCCGAGTGGCGGCGGCAACGACAAGCGACGCGGCGAAGCGGCCCTTAATGAACGGAGAGCAGCAGTGCAGCGGGAATAAATGTTTTCTGAGAGGGAGCAAGAGCAAGGTGAGGCGGCGCGACGGTCGGGCTTAAAGGCACAATAAGGACTCTTTGCGCTGCCACCACACTGCTCCCACCACTCACCCCCACCCCCTCGCCAGACCGCGACCCGGGCAAGGGCGGGCCCGTCTGTCGCGTCTCTCCGCAGCAGTCTCTGTCTCTCTCGCACTCATGCGTGCCCCGTCTGGGAGAGAGAGAGACAGAGCGACGAAAGCGACTCTCGGAATCAGTCTGGTGCCAAGGAGCCTTGCACCCTGGCCGCGCCGCCACCGTCGGGGCCGCCCGAACAAAGCCGTGCAGGTTGCTCTTGTTGTTGTTGTTGTTTTTATATTTGTTGTTGTTGTTTGGGAAATGGGATGAGCGAGGCGGTGACCTTGTGCGTGGCCTCGTTTCCATTAGCTGCAGCGGCAGGCAGAGGCGGGCCGAGGCAGGCGGCCAACAAAACAGCGAGACCGAAACAAAAGATGTGCCCGCCCTGCATATAAGTCTGGCAATGTGCAGTCAACCCTTTTCAGCAGTATCCTTGCCGCGCGAGGGATGATCCAATGGGCGCGAGTGAGAGAGAGAGAGAGAGAGAGAGAGAGAGAGAGAGAGAGAGAGAGAGAAGAGGAGAGAGCGTGCGTGCGTCCGTTTGCCTACTGGCGCGCATTTTTTTTTTTCAGCAGCCCGCCTCCCCGTTTTCTAACTTTGTTTACGACCTAAATCACGCCGGCGCTGTAAATCTGTCGGACGGCACACACTCGGTTATCGATTCCTTTGGCCGGGGCGCCGCCGTCTCGGACGCTCCTTCGCGCCGGCCTTTCGCTCGCCTCCTACAACAACAACAACAACAACAACAACAACAACAACAACAACAACAAGATCAACGTAAAAATGGACCGATGAAAAAAACAAAACGCGAGTGCTAATACCCTTCTCGCTGCGCGCTCCCTATCGCCCTCGCATGCTGTACTACATGCAGTACGCGTTCCTGTTTACTTCTTTTTCTTTGTCGACGGCAAATAGCAGATTAAACTGACGGGACGAACTGTGGTGGTGGTGCACACAGTGGGCCAGAAGAGCGGTGGGGGTGGCCGAAATTCAACGAGGAATTCAATGGTGGGGTCACAAGCTCGGTTCGAGTCCTGTTTAGCGACTCTGGAGCTCAAAAAAAAAGACGAGAGTTTTGGGCCGCCTGCGCCGGTCTTCTGGCCCACTGTGTGGCCCGCGGGCTGCAGCCCGGCGCGCTACACGCCAATGACAGTGCCCTGCCTAATTGCCCCATAACACCCCCCACCCCCACCCCTTTCCCACGCTACACGCGTCATCGGCTCTTGCTTTCGCGGCCCCCGCCCGCCTGTCCCGTGTGACTGACCGGTGCAGTAATCTAATCAGATATTGAGTCATGAATATGACCCGGTGAAATGGCCGCGCCGTGTTGCGTGCCCCTCATCACCGTGTCTGCCTGCCTGTCTGTCTGTCCGCCCGCCCGGTCTGTATCGTGTTCCGCCGTGGTCCATTGCCGCCGACACTCCCCTCCATTCAAACGCCGAATAAAATGCAGCCAGTGGAGCGGACGGGCCTGCCGCCCTGGCGGACGGACTACCTGGGCGCGGGATGCAAATCCCTTTATATTCCAGCCCCCCCCCCCCCTGAATCCTCGCGTAGCCTCGCGCCGGGGTGAGTTTTGCGACGGACGGTACCGCGGCACCACACTCGCATGACGGCGGCGGGGCGTACCGTGGCGGGGCGTGGCGTGGCGGAGCGTCGTCCCTACATATCTACCGTGACGAACGTCAGAACTTGGCCGGAACGTCGCTCTGATGGAGACGCACATGCTCTGTTGACCTGCCACTCCCTCTCCCACTGTCTCTCTCTCTCTCTCTCTCTGACAGTGCAATGCTAATGCCGTGTTGCAGGTGACGTGGCTTCGGCGCCGGGACCACCACCTCCTGACGGTGGCTCGGGGCGGCTACGCCCAGGACGACCGCTTCCAGGTGGTTCACGACCAGCACCCGGAGGTAAGGAACAAGGCCGAACGTGGCGTCGTAGGGCTGTTGCGCACAGTGGGCCAGAGGACCGGTGGAGGCGGCCAACACTCTAGACGCGTTTTGACCTCCAGAGTCGCTAAATGGGACTCGAACGAAACGTGTGACCCCACCAATGAATTCCTCGTCGGGAGAGCAATCCATTGGTGGGGTCACACGTTAAGTTCGAGGCCTGTTTAGCGACTCTGGAGCTCAAAACGCGTCTGGAACTCTGGCCGCCTCCACCGGTCGTCTGGCGCACAGTGCTGTACGGTTTTCAGGGTTCCTCAGATCCGAGAGCTCTTCTCCAACTTTTAATTTTTACTTTTCTCCGGGTGCGGAAAATCCGCCTAGACGGAAGAATGCGCAAGTGCGCCGGCGGGCAGGGTCCGCTGCGCTGCCCTGGCTTCGCGGATGTTACGCAGCCACTTGCGAAAATTGCACGCGCCCCTACCGATGGAGGCCGAACAGGAAGTTGCTGGACGCGGCACGGGATCAGCACAACACAATCCTGGAGCAGCGGTGCTTGCCCGCCCGCTCCCTCATTAGGCCATGAGTGCACGCTGCTGACGAGGAGGTACTGCAGCAGGATTTGGCCGAGGGGTCTGTTTGCCGACGACCTGTGATTTCCGCCTCGGAAATGGACGCTCGGGTACTCACTGCGAGTACCACAGCCAAATGTGGTAATTTCACCACACTTTCGATTTCAGTGCAATTGACCTTAATTTGACCAAATCGCCTTTAATTTGACTGAAACAAACCCTTAACTTGGCCGAAATTAGCACTCATTCGGGCCCACACTGCTTACTCACTCGCCTCCAATGTTTACAGTGCGCCGAGGCCGGGCCTTTTTCAGGCCGGCCTTCCCGGCGTTGGCGGCCCTGATGGCCTCCGCCTCATCTCGGCGAGGAGCGGGACTCGCAAACGTCCTTTGTTATTAATTGGCGCCCGGCATGCGAGTAAAGTTTCCGCCGTATCTCTCTCTCTCTCTCTCTCTCTCTCTCTCTCTCTCTCTCTCTCTCTCTCTCTCTCTCTCTCTCTCCTCCCCGCCGACTTTACAAGAAAATTATCAGCACGACTTTTATTAAGGCGTCCCCAATTACTGCACTGAAAGTCGAAAGTGAGGAAAGGGGGAGGGGGAGGGGGAAAGGGGGCGGGGGAGTGCAGCTGATGGGGCGGCCCCATTAGGCGGGCCACGCACGAAGTGTAGTTGAACATTACTTTCAATGTTGGAAAATAGTCGGACCATTAATTAGAGCATGGGCAGGCCGAGGCAGGCCGAGGCAGGCCGAGGCAGGGCGCGCCAGAACGGCGGCTATCTAACAAACCAAAACTTTCCTGCAGGTAAGACTCGATAGATTCGAATCTGCTGGCTGAAGAGGTTCCGCCCGCGCGGGGCGCGCCGCCCTGCCGCCGGTATGAGGGGCCGTCCACAAATTACGCCACGTTTTTCGTCCCTCTTGCTCAAAGAGCGTCCAGGACTTCGACCGCCTCCACCGGTCTTCTGGCCCACTGTGATGCCGTGCACTTTCTGCCTGGAATCTAGCCTGTAATTAAAGAGAGCCGCTTTTCCCCCTGGAAGTGCCCTGGATTTTTCGGCGGCGACACGACCGGCGTGATTTGCAGGAACAATAAGCGTCGAGGTCGGCAGGGCCACTGCAGGGCCACTGCAGGGCCTCGGCCACGGCAGCGCATTACCATGTGGAGTGGCATAGTGGCCATACACAAGAGCAGCAGCCTTTTCTCGCCGCCTCGCCCGAGTCCGCCGTCCCTCAGACAGGAAAGCAATCATGCCAGAGCTTGCTAGTGGCGGAGGAATGCAATTCTGACCGCACTGCTCCTTGGAATTCGTTTGCTGTCAGCTCAGTGGCACCCCTGCCCTCATCCGGTGTCGGGGGCCCCGGAGGAGTCTTCCCCCTCATCCGCCCCGAGCGCCGTCCCCCCCCCCCCCCCCCCCGCGTGTCGCGTAGAGCACGCCCTACTTCGAATCTGGACCACCACCACTACTTTGACCCGCCAAGCGGCTGTCGTGTTGATGTTAGCTTGAGTGCGTGCGTGCGCGTGTGTGCGTTCGTGTGTGTGTGCGTTCGTGTGTGTGTGGGAGAGAGAGAGAGAGAGAGAGGCACAACACCTGCCCCTCCCCTCTTCCAAAACGCTCCCTGTGATCAGGTTGGCCCGGCGACCGACTGGTTCGGCCAATCAGGACATGATAGACGGCGGACGGTAATTGGAGCTAATGAATTCAGATTTTCCAGTGCCGTGCAAGCTAAATGACTCGACCGATCCTGGCGCGACAAAGGTGCTCTGCCTTGTTGTACGCAGTAATTTTCAAAGTCCCTTTTAACTTTACAATGTTCTTATTCAATATTTATTTAAAATGTTGATTTTTAACTTTTTTTTTTTTTGTTCCCGGGAGACCATGTAACGTTAGAGTCCGGAGGTCCTGAGGAAGAATAAAAAACGAAATAAAAAAGAAAGACAAAGAGGGGCAGTCGAGTAAACGGTCGAGCACAGAAGGGAAGAGAGTGGCCCTGAAAATTATTCATTTGCTCTTTCTTCCTCTCTCTCTCTCCCTGTCCGTCTGTCTCGCTCTGACCGCCGCAACGCACCGTGTTCCTCCGGTTCGCTGCTGGCCTGGACCGCACACCAGAGGGTCACGACCTGAACGCAGTTCATTTGCAACGCTTGAGCGGGCCTCGCTATCTGAATGGAGCACACGCTGCCCGGTAGATAGTGCTCTCTCTCTCTCTCTCTCCCTCCGCGCTGCAGCGCGCTGGTCCGCTGAGGAGACGACGACAAAGCCACTGTGAAAGGGTATCCGCAGATATGGCTGGCCGGGACCCCGGATCGCCGCCAGGCCACCAGGGGCTGAAGGTAATCCGATCATTCTCGTGGAAGAGAATCATTCACCAAGCCCTTTCGGCCTCCGCCTGGCCTCCGCCCGGCCTTCGGGGCCACCGCCACCGGGGCTGTGACAGGTCAGGCGGCCAAAATGATTCAACCTCTCGATGTCATTGGAGCCTGCCAGGGCCCAACGCGCCGAAGTAAGACCAGTTCGCACCTGGTAGCTTGCACACTGAACACGTACCGCTGAGCAATGATGCGCCACTCCCGCAGTGCGTTCCATGGAAAAAAATCGGCGGCAAAAAGTGGCAATACGAAAGTCTCAAGGAGACCCGCCGATCAGCTTCGGTGTTCTTATGGGAACCGGGCCTTCATCCGACGCTCCCTGCCGCGCAATTCGACAGATTAGTGGGTTCGTATTGGGCTGGCCCACCCGAAGTGCGCGCGGTTTCTGTGGTACAGTGAGAGTCCAGATTCAGAGGCCTTACCTCAGAGGGGTCACATTGGGTATTTGAACCCGCGACCCCGAGTGCCGAGTCTAGTCAACTCCTCTACCCTGACCGCTCAGCCACCGAACCAGCTTGTCGGCGGCGATGTCGCAACTCCTCTTGAGCTGCCGTTCGAGAAATCTGGTCCCGAAAAAAGGGTCCTTTGAGCGGTCTCGAACCCGGGACCTGCCGCTTCCCACATCATGCTCTTAACCTCTGAGCCACCGGGACACCATGGCACCCGCCCTGCCTGCGCTGGTACCCAATCTTCTCTGGATGTACCTCCCCAAGCAATTGGTCGCCGAAAAAATTGTGTATACTACCAGTCCCGAACCCGGGACCTGCCGCTTCCCACGTCTTGCTCTTAACCACTGAGCCACCGGGACGCCATGGCACCCGCCTTGCCTGCGCTGGTACCCAATCTTCTCTGGATGTGCCTCCCCAAGCAATTGGTCGCCGAAAAAATTGTAAGTACTACCGGTCCCGAACCCGGGACCTGCCGCTTCCCACATCATGCTCTAAACCACTGAGCTACCGGAGGACCATGGTGCCCGCTCTGCCAGCGCTGGTACTCAATCCTCTCCGGATAGACCTCAAGAAGTCGGTTGCCGTTGCCGAAAAATTTGCTCACGGCATTAGTCTCGAACCCGAGACCTGCCAGTCAGGAACGCAGCACTCTGACCACTGCGCTACCGGGTTGCTATGCACGCCGCTCTCCTAGCGCCGAACTTATAATTTGTCCAGCATCAAGCAAGATGGCTGGCTATTCAAGTTTGGCTCTAGGTAGGTGGCCCCAAGTCTAACCGTGTTATTTCAGCCCCGTACAGTCGCCTTGACGCCTGTGTCCAGCGCCCGAATGGCCGCGGCTGGCCAGCGCCAATTTATACATCTAATAGGTGTAACTCGCTGCTAGGCGCCGGGAAGGGGGAGAAAGGCACCGCCAGCGGTACCCGCGCGCGTTAGCAGTGCTCAGTGAAAAAAAGGAAGAGAAAAATGAAGGCGTATTTGCAGTGGAGGTGAGCGCAGCAGAGCGTGCGCCTGGTTGGCCTGGTTCTCGGCGTGCCATGGCCGCGCCGGACCCGTATCCTGGACGGCGGCAGGGTCACATTCCGGCGCAGGGACCCGCTCGTTTAACGCGTCGCGCTCGCACCTGCCGAGCCCTCTCTCTCTCTCTCTCCCCCCCCCTCTCTCTCTCTCTCTCTCTCTCTCTCTCTCTCTCTCTCTCTCTCTCTCTCTCTCTCTCCCCGTCTTGTGCAGGAGGCATGCACAGCGGTGGTACCTTCGAGGCGTCAGCCTCCTCATCCCGACGGACCGTTTCCTCGCTCTGTCTCTCTCGCACCCATACGGGACTCTCCATGAGTGCGAGAGAGACAGACGCCAGCGCCGGGCCTTGCTTCGTCGGTTCAGCCAAAGCTTTGGGAGCGCCCGCCGAAGCCCGCATAGGCAGCCCGCAACGCAGTGGCGCGAAGCGGCGTGGCGGTTGCCTACGCGCCGGGCGCTCCCCGTGACGCGCCGTGGAGGGCGGAGGGGCACACATCCGCTGATTCGGCTCCGCCTTCCGCGTCCCCCGCGTCTATCCACATCGGCCTCTCAAATCCCCGGCCCGGCTGCCTGTAGACTGATTCCGAGAGTCGCTTACGTCGCGCTGTCTCTCGCTGCACTCATGGGGCGCCCCGTAGAGGTGCGAGAGAGACAGAGCGACGGAATAGACTCTCGGAATCAGTCTGCTGCCTGCGTGGCTCTACTCATCAGCGCGCCGAGAAGATTCTCATTTATTTGGCGCGCGTTGCGTCGGCCTGACTGAGCTTAGCGCCGTGACACTGCCAGCCCTCGGGGCGCCTCGGGGCCTGGATGGAGGCGCCACTCATGCTGCTCTTGTTTTTCGGACGCAAACGCCGCGCGCCTCTGGAGGAGGAGGAGGAGGAGGAGGAGGAGGAGGAGGAGGAGGAGGAGGAGGAGGAGGGAGGAGGAGGAGGAGGAGGAGGAGGAGGAGGAAGAAGAGGAGCAGCAGGAGATTGACGGAAGCGGCGGGAGCGGCGGGAGCCACCGGGGAGAGAGAGAGGGGAGAGAGAGAGAGAGAGAGTAAGACAGAGCGACTAACAGACTGACAGACAGACCCGCAGCAGCGGCAACTGGAAGCAGTAGCACTGGCAGAGCAGCTCGGGTTTTAGAAAAGGTTAAGTCTACCAGACAGATGGCTGGGCTGGGTTACGGGTGGGAACCACCAAACAGTTCCAGTCTCCCTGCTTCCCGTCCCCCCCTCCCCCCATTCCTGGTTCTTCCATTGCCCCGCCGGCCCGTCCGGAGAGGAGTGCAGCCTTCGCGCTCTGGCCCCTTTGGCCCCTTTAGCCTCAGCACTTTGCTGGTATAAGGAAATCCGGTGTGAAGACACACTGTGGGGCTTCGCCGGGCCGGCCTGGCTGGCGGGGCAGCCCCTCCTCGATGAACGTGTCGGGGTGTTCGGCGCGGCGCCCAGTCGACTCATTCCGAGAGTCTCGCTCTGTCCCTCTCCCACCTACAGGGGACGCCCCATGAGTGCGAGAGAGACAGAGCGAGACTCTTGGAATCAGTCTGCAGTCGGGGCCGGGCCGCCGAAAAAAGGGGGAGGGGGTGGCTTGCTGACTCGGCAATTCAATTAATGATAGGCCCTGCCTCCCAGACAACAACGCCCATTCCGATTTGCTTGTTTGGCCTGAATATTTATTACCTAAGAATGAAGGAAAGGGGGCGGCCCCCTTCGCCGCCCTAACTGCCGCCGCTTGTGTCGGCAAGGTTAAGGCTCGTGTTTTTTTTTTTCTTGTTCCGTGATTGTTTTTTTTTTATCGGTTTGATGCTGCTGTGCATCGCGCGGCGTGGCATCGTTCCTCGTTTTCCCTCCGGACACCGCCGTGCCGCGCCGGTCGCTCTGTTTTGTGTAGGAAGAAAGGGACAGCTCATCGCGCGGCGGAACGACGGCGCTTGAGACCTGCCGCGGACAAGCCGGGACAAGCCAGGACAAGCCACCGGGAAGCCGAAGCGGCGCGCCGGCGTGCCCCGACCTCCCATTGAGCATTCATACCACGTCCCGGCGGGGCGGGGCGCGGCGGGGCGGGGCGGGGCGGGGCGGGGCGGGGCGGGGCGGGGCGCTGTTCAGCCGGACGACCGCATCCATTGGGGGTGTGTCCCGCAATTTGCCCCAGCGATCAATAGAGTCAAGTTTACATAATTCAACCCCAGAGCGGGCCCCGTTTTTTCCGTCCCTCTCTCTCTGTCTCTCTCGCACTCGCTGGCTGCTGCGGGCGGCCGTGTTTGCTCGTCACGGCATCGAAAAATAGCAGACGGCCGCCATGGCGGCGTCGCCTCGCGACGATGAGCCTCATCAGCAGCAGTTACACTCTTCTGGGTTCCGGGTGCTTCTGGCTGGCTTGTCGGCAGCACTTCAAACATGCACCGCACTGCGCGTCTCTTGCGCTGCCGGACGGACTACTCCACTGCTTCTTTTTCATCCGTCTCTCTCCTTCTCTGCTTCTGCCTCTCTCTCTCTCTCTCTCTCTCTCGCTGAAGGATGCCAGCAGGCGACGCCACTAATGAGTGCATTTTGCGATGCGGACACGTACGCCAGCGTTACAGCGCGTCGCCATGGCGACTGCCCCCTTCTCCAACTCTTTGCCCCGCCGGGGGTAATCACGTGGAAGAGCTGCGGGGTAATCGCCGTTCTCAGACAGGCTGGCGTCGTCGGGCGGCACCGCCAGGCACCGCACAGTGGGCCAGAAGACCGGTGGAGGCGGCCCAAACTCTAGACGCGTGCAGAGCTCCAGAGTCGCTAAACAGGACTCGAACCGGACGTGTGATCCCACCGATGGATTCCTCGTTCGGAGAGCAATCCATTGGTGGGATCACACGTTCGGTTCGAGTCCCATTTAGCGACTCTGGAGCCCAAAACGCGTCTGGAATTTTTGCCGCCTCCGCCGGTCTTCTGGCCCACTGTGCGCCAGGCACCGCCCGGACGTATCTGTGGCGATGGAGGCTGCCTGGTACTAGCTGGCTCACTGGAAGCTCGCTGGAAGTTGGCTGGCTGGGGTGGCACCCCGCGCCTCGGAGATACCACCCTGAGTGTGTTGCAGCACACGTTAAAAAAAATAGCGACTTAAGTTTGATGGTCCAACCAAGTGTCCCACCCACAAACTCGAAAAGCGCACACGATGTTGTCGTTTTGATGTGTCATTTTGTAACAGTCCAAAGGTTTAAATGTCGGAGAGACAATCTTTGACACTTGTGTCATAGACTAAGTGTGCATGCGTCCGTTATGCTGGTAGTAAAACTGGGCATCTCGCATTTCTTTCTTAATTTCTGGTGCTGGCGTCAACGTGGAGCTCCTCTGACTAATTTGCTTTGTTTAGTTTTTCGTCACTGGCTGAGAACTATGCCGGCCCTGACGGTTTTCGCGTGTGCACACTTGTCTCCCCTTCCCCCTCCTCCTGGCCCCTCCTGGCCGGTACCGGGAGTCTGTCCCTGCAGCCCTTCACCTCCTTTCCGAGATCCTGAAAGGGCCGCGTGAAAGGGCCGAGGCCCAAGGGTTTGAAAGGTCCGAGGCTACGAGCCGGCCCTACCAGACCAGGGTCCACGTCAGGGTCCACGTCAGGGTCCACGTCAGGTCTCGGGGTGAAGCGAGTCAACACGTAATTACCCCCCAAGCACTCGGTCGAGGTCGTGGCGTCGCAGCGGCCGGGCTCGCCTTCGGAACCACATTTCAACGCTCTGCAGTCACACTAAATCGTGGGTTAGGTGACTTAAAGTTCATCCAGGCACGCTGGTCCAGGCTCGTACAGGCAAGCTGGTCCCGCGACACGTAGTCGGAGGTCCCCTTTGTTGTGCTATTTGTTTGTTGTTTTTTATGTTGTGTTTTGTTGTTCCCGTTCTGTTTTTTTTTTTGTTTTTTTTTTTTAAAGTTTTGTTGGTTGGTTGTTGTTTTTCAGAACACGGATCGGTGCAATTAACTTTGTTTCTTCGGGCCTGCTGCGTGAACCGCGCGAAAACAAGGGTGAATTGGATCAGCTTGAAGCAGTTGTAACTAGTTCGGAGCTCCGAGAGGCCGTGAGCAGCTCCGGGCCCTCCAGCCCCACCGCCATGCTCGCGGAGGGCGATAATCAGGCCCTCACATTCAACCGCCAAACAGCGCGCCGTTGTACCCCTTCTTTCTCTCTCTCTCTCTATCTCTCTCTCTCTCTCTCTCTCTCTCTCTCTCTCTCTCTCTCTCTCTCTCTCTCTCTCTCTCTCTCTCTCTCTCTCTCTCGTTCTTGCTCACCACAACCTGTCCCCATGTTCGCAGGACTGGACAATGCAGCTCAAGTTCGTGACGGACCGGGACGCTGGCCGCTACGAGTGCCAAGTGTCCACACACCCTCCCGTCAGCAATTTCATCCACCTCAGGGTGGTCGGTGAGTACGCCTCATTGTTGTCGTTGCGTCTCTCTCGCACTCGCGCGGCGGCCCGAGGGGGTGCGAGAGAGACGGAGGGCCCGGAAGGGACTCGCCCGGGGCGCACAGTGGGCCAGAAGACCGGTGGAGGCGGACAAAACTCTGGACGCGTTTCGAGCTCCAGAGTCGCTAAATGGGACTCGAACCGAGCGTGTGACCCCACCAATGGATTGCTCTCGGAACGAGGAAGCCATTGGTGGGGTCACACGTTCGGTTCGCGTCCTGCTTAGCGACTCTGGAGCTCGAAACGCGTCTAGGGTTTTGTCCGCCTCCACCGGTCTTCTGGCCCACTGTGGGGCGTCCGGGGCCCCTCGAGGCCCTCGAATCGCCAAGTGTTGCGCCGTGGGCAGCCTGTGGCGTTGGCTGGCGTTGGCTGGCGTGCATAGCGGCCCGCCCTTAACCATTTGCCCCGTCTAGCCCGACAGGCAGCCAGCCTCGACGGCCACCGCGCACTCTACGCCCGAGTGGACACACACACTCACACACGCACACACACACACACACACACACACACACAGCGGGCTCCCTGTCCTTTTCCACCCCACAAGTCAAGTGGACACACGTGGCGAGGGGCCCGCCACCCCGTCCGCCGGTCGGGCTGCCTTCGCCAGCTGACTGATTTTCCGCGACCAGCGCTCTCCAGTCGCTCGTTCTCTCTCGCACCCCCACGCCACTGCGACGCGCCCCGCGAGTGCGAGAGAGACTGAGCAGCAGGGGTGGATCCTAAACGGCGCGGACGGAGAACCATAGGCGGACTCCGTCGTCAGAAACGCAGAGCAGCAGACTGATTCCGAGAGTCGTTTTCGACGAAAACGGCTCTCGGAATCAGTCCACTGGTGAGTTGACCGCGGTGGCAATCCTTTCTGGAACCGCGCGACCGACCGCGGAGAGATCCTCTTGTCCTCGGCGACCTCGTTGGCCTCGGACACCGCAATGGCGCCGCAGCGTGGACAGCAAACCACACTGTAAGTCTGTAAGCCGGCGACGCGGTCCGGAGCTCCGAACTGCGGCCGCGCACGAATCGGAAATCGGGGCACCCGCGCCCTGCCCTCCTACAGTGGGCCAGAAGGCCGGCGGACGCGGCCCAAACTCTAGACGCGTTTTGAGCTCCAGAGTCGCTAAATGGGACTCGAACCGGACGTGTGACCCCACCAATGAATTGCTCTCCGAACGAGGAATCCATTGGTGGGGTCACACGTTCGATTCGAGTCCTGTTTAGCGACTCTGGAGCCCTCCGCCACCGGACCACGGCCGTACATTTTGCAGTGTTTTGCCGCCCGGCCCTGGCCCTGGCCCCGGCCCGCCACACTGGTGCTGGTCACGCTTGCTTTTTACTTGACTGGGCTCCGGGCACATTTATTCCAAGCCTCCCCCCCCCCCCCCCCCGCCCCACCGCGCAGCAGACTGAGAGTCGTTTTCGTCGCTCTGTCTCGCTCGCGCTCATGGGGCGTCCCGTTGTAAGGTGAGAGAGAGACAGCGCGACCAAAACGACTCTCAGAATCACTCTGCTGGGCGGCAGAGCCCCGGCCGGCTGGTCGTCGCTCCTCCCGCAAAGGGCCCGCTCCAGGGCCCGCTCCAGGGCCCCACAAGGGTCGCCGGGGGGCGCAGCTCGCGCCGCAGCACCAGAAGGGCCAGAAGGGCCAGAAGGGCCACATGGCCCTGCAGGGCTGCAGGGCTGCCCGCCAGCAGGGCCGGCAGGGCGACCAACCCGCCCCACGAACCACCACCACCACGCCGATCGCTATAACTGGATTAACGGGGTGGAGGGTAGCATTTCCATGGAAATGCTCGGATGCTGCTGCCGGGAGAGGACCGACCGGCAAGGGAGTAGCTAGACACACACACACACACACACACACACACACACACACACACACCACGCGCGGTAAAGTGCGGCCACACTCGTCGTCGTCGGCGTCTTCTTCAAAGCAGCAACTCAGAACAAACCCCAGTCGTTCGTATCCAGTCTGTGCACCCAGACCCCAGTAATATCCCCTAGCTCAAACGCCCTCTCCCATCCTGTGTATCCCCCTCGCCCCGGGTCTCTCCCTCTCTCTCTCTCTCTCTCTCTCTCTCTCTCTCTCTCTCTCTCTCTCTCTCTCTCTCTCTCTCTCTCTCTCTCTCTCTCTCTCTCTCTCTCTCTCTCTCTCTCTCTCTCTTGCTCAGACACACACCCACACACCGCGGCGAGCAGCGCATGAGGGGGGCTTTTCGGTTGACCAAAACTGGGAGCGGGTGGGCCAAGGCGGCGGGTCCGAGACGGGCGCGGTGCGGCGCGGTGCGGCGGTGCCCCTAGCCTCTTGGGCGGGCCGCCGCTGCGTGAGCCAAGGCGGCGCGGCCACAGGCGCCACAGGCTCACCAAGCAACACTCATCCGCGGCCGTATCGCCATTATGAAAAATTCAGGGGCACTCTTACCTCGCGCAGCTGCGGGCCGACGGCGGCGGCGGCGGCCAGGTAAGCGCGTACGCATTACGGGCGTCGGGCGTAAACCATCGCACCATCCCCCCCCCTCCCCCTTCTCTTTGGCGCGCGTAATTCAAACTGCAGCCTTGCCACGCAGCATCACACTAACCCCCTCCCCTTGCCCCTAACCTCAAAACCTTCAACCCCCTGGCGCCGCCTAGCCTCCTCGCCGCCGTTGCTTGGCGCCCCCGAAACCACACGCCCCCCCCCCCCACAACCCTTTTCTCTCCGCTGCGACGTACCCCGCCCCCCCTTTGCAGTTAATTACCAGGCAAGAATTGAAACATATGGCAGCCGCGTCCCCCCGGCGGGTTATTGGTCACCGGCCAAATCGCCCCCCGCAAGAATTAGACGGCGAAACGGATGGCGCCTCGGGAAGGGGAGGGGGGGAGGGGCGAGTATTATTTTTATCCGTTCCAGATATCCGCGCGCCGCGGGGAGACTTCCAAGAGGTCTCTGCCAAGAGTCTGTCTCGCGGCGAGCCGCGCAAAGTGAAGAATGCGAGGTGGCTGGCTGGGGTTGGCGTCGTGGTGGTCGGAAGGTCGCTTCCACGGATTTTTTGTTTTTTCCTTTTCGTTTTTTTTTAATGCGCGGCCAGAAGGGTAAAGACAGGCGCTCCGGAGATGCTATATAAAGCTCTCAGGCATTAACAAACCAGCGTCCTCTCTCTCTCTGTTTCTCTTCTCTCGCTCTCTCTGCGCTGCCGCGCCTCGACTGCGTGGAGCCAGGAGCCCCACAAGGATCAGCTTGCCGTGGCTATTGGCTTCGCAGCGCTGCAAGTTTGCAAACCGCCGATGCATGTGAGAGAGAGAGAGAGAGAGAGAGAGAGAGAGAGAGAGAGAGAGAGAGAGAGCATTATGCGTTTGGTGTGTGGTGGGGGAAGGAAGGCTGCCTCAGGTGCGGAGATAAGTGAATTGGGAGCGCATTCGCCACGCTATACATACACGAACACACACACACACAGACGTTTTGCATCGACACGACGCGGGGCCGAACTTGGTGGCCGAGAGAGGGAGAGAGAGAGAGAGAGAGAGAGAGAGAGACAGGGGGGCACTGCCTCCAACACGGCGTGGGGTCAGCGCGTGGCGCGGCGTGCTGCTGGGGAGGGTGGGGCAGCCGGCAGCCCTGTGGGATACGAGGGCGCAACTTTTGCTGTGCGAGTCTGAGTCTGCGAGTCGCCGTCTCGCATCTTATCAGGACGCATGTCCGCCTCCCGCGGGGGCCCGCCCCGCCCCGCCCCGCCCCGCCCCGCCCCGCCACGACACTGCGATCGGGTCTGGCCTCGCGACTTTCGCGGCGTCCCCGCGGGCCGCATCGCTCGCTCCGTCTCTCTCGCACGGGCGGAGGGAAGGGCCGGCGGCGCCTCATTTCGACCCCTGGCCGCTTCGCCTGCCTCGCCGGCCTCGCCCGCTTCGAAGGCCGAAAGCAGGCATCTCTTTGCGACTTCTTCCCAGTTTGGCAGCCCGGAGGCGGAGGCAGCCTCTCTCTCTCTCTCTCTCTCTCTCTCTCTCTCTCTCTCTCTCTCTCTCTCTCTCTCTCTCTCTCTCTCTCTCTCTCTCTCTCTCTCGCACTCGCAGGCCCCCCCGCGGGGTGCGAGAGAGACGGTGCGAGGAAGAGCGGCGCGTCAAGGTGTAAGATGATCGCGCGAGTGGCGGCGTGAGTGGGCGGTGCGGCGAGATTCCTGTTTTCGAGTGTGCCTGCCAGGAGGGCCAAGGGCAAGGGCGGAGCGGAGGGGAGGCAGCGGCCCTCAAGCCATTAAGGCGGAAGGGCTGACGCGGCCCAGGGAAGCCAGCAGTCGCTTCCTCGCTCTCTCGCACTCATGGGGCGCCCCGTCTGGGTGCGAGAGAGACAGAGCGACGAAAACGACGTTGCGGAATCAGTCTGCTGGGAAGCTGGGCAGGGAAAGTGAGAGCAACGAGCACCGACGCGCCGCGCCGCCAAACAGCGCAAACAGTCGAATCAGGAATAATGATGCCTGGCAAGGGCTGGAAAAACATTTTTCCGGCTCGGGAACTAACACTCCTAAGGCTGATAAGCAAACTCCCAATTTAAACTAACCCCTGCTATTTTTTGTTGTTTTTGAGGGCAAACTTTTAACTTTTTTTTAAACATTTCCATTTTTGGATCGGGGTCGCTCCAGAATTTCCGGGTGGTTTGACCCTCGCCTCGCGGTCGCGGCGAGTCGTGGCCGGCGGGGCGGTGCCGGCCGGTCGTATGGCGCTGCCCGGGTTCAATTGGCTGCACTAACCGACACTATAACCGTCCCGGCCGGATGCGCGGGGGCGCGTGGCAGTGTGGCAGTGCGGCGGGCCGCACGCCGGAAACGGCCGCGACGGACGTGGCGGGAATTTCAAACAGAGCCGAGCCGGAATTATGAAAGCCGGCTTCTAATGGCCACAAGGAGGCACGTAAAGGCCTGGCCGATGCCGTGCCGAGCCGAGCCGAGCCGTGGCGAGCCTTCTCGCCTCATCGGCCGTCGTTAAACGCGGAGTCCTT